TTCCTTTGTTTTCTTTTCAAGGTTATACCAAAAAATTCTATATAGTTTACTAACCAGAATGCTATTCCTTCCCTTTGAATATGCCAAAGGCAAAAGCGGATCAAAATTATGGATCTCGTAATCCAAAGTGAATTTTTTCCTCCAACTACCTCCTGCAGCTTCTCCACCCTTATCCCTCACAAGCAAGTAATAATGTATATTATTGATGGGAAAATGGTTGAGTCGGTTAGCAAATGCGGAAGAGGGATTGTGGAAGAGTGTCATTGTAGGTAAATATGGAGCAGAAGGGGGTCACTGGATGGACTGGGTGCGTGATGGCAGGAACATAGGATCGTTATGGTGGAGAGACGTCCGAAGACTCAAAGCCGGGGAGGGAGTGAATGTGAGATGGTTGTGGGAGGATTTTAGACTCAAGATAGGGGAAGGGAGAGGTGTTAAATTCTGGTGGGATACATGGTGTGGGGAGGAGTGTCTAGCTAACAAATTTCCTAGACTGTATTTATTGTCAACAGGGAAACAAAAAGAATGTCATGAAATGGGTAATGAGGATCGAACCACATGGAAATGGAATTTATCTTGGAGACGAAATTTGTTTGAGTGGGAAGAAGAAGCAGTTCGAGAACTCAAAGGGATGATTGAAGAAGTGAAGATCACACTAGGCTACCCAAATAGATGGAAATGGAGCCACAGCACAGAAGGCCAATACTCGACAAAAATAGCTTATCAAAGGCTATCAATGCTAAGGAAGAACCCAGAGGAAGAAAAAATCTTTAAAAGGGTTTGGAACTCCACTGTCCCTAGCAAAGTGGCTGCATTTAACTGGAAATCATTGCTGGACAGAATCCCAACTAAGTTAAATCTGATCAAAAGGGAAATTATCAAAGACATGGCAGAAGGAAAATGTGTCTTATGCAAGGAAGAGATTGAGGATGCTGACCATCTGTTCTTAAAATGCAAAGTAGCTAGAGGTTTGTGGCAAGCATGCGCAAACTGGTGGGGAACGAATTTTACACTTCTCAGAGATTGCTGGACAACATTTCATCATTTTGGGACATGGACTACAAAACCACACATTTCAAAAGGGTGGGATTGCATCTGGAATACAGTTATATGGACTATATGGATGGCACGAAATGGTAAGGTTTTTCATGATTCAAAGGTAAACAAAAGTAAACTTTTTGAGCTTATTCAATTGAGATCTTTTGATTGGATTAAAGCAAAGAAAGCTAGGTGTTATTTCAGTCTTTCAGATTGGATGATTGATCCTACTGCTTGTCTTTTAGTAAATTGTAGAGGAAAGTAATATTGATCCGAAAGATAGGATTAACATTGAAGGGCTGATTTTTGTATTTGTAGTAAAGGTTTGAGTACCCCTTGTACTCAGTTTTTCATCAATGGATTCTTCATTTGCTGTTTAAAAAAAAAAAGTAATAATGTATATTAGGGTAATGACGTAATACAGGAACATAAAGGTTACCTGCCAAAACCACCAAGTAATCCTGGCATGTTATTGTCTGCCCACAATCAGAAAATAGCGGCACATTAAAGAATACCTCACGTGCAACATCAAAACCAAGAACATTATTTTTCCATTTCCAGTACAGAGCACCATTTGCAAAACTTCCCTCCCACGAGCTACATTTATCATCCACCATCAGGAGATCTTGACTCTTTCTCCAAGAATTTGATTTCAAACTGAAAATCCAGACTTGAAAAGAAACATGACTCACCTCTGTAATCATCACAAACTTATAGTCATCAAGAGTAGAATCATACCCTCAACCATATCCGGTCATTGTTTTATGCCCAGCTGGTAGGGTTTGCACTGGATGAAGTGGTAATTTCTTATATTGCCTGGTGAATGGATTCCATATGGCAAAATTGAAGAAGGTATCGTTTTCAACAAGAACAATCATCCTGAGGAGAATCAAACCATTGCAAGAATGACATACAAAAGTGAAGTGAAGCGGAGATACCGATGGCGGGTTGTTGAGTGAGGCGGCAACTTGCAGGTCATCAACAAAATTAGCAGGGCAGAAATCGTTGGAATCAGAGTTACGGATGATTAGTTTTTGGCCGGTTTTGCTTTGGATTGATCTGTTGAGATGATTCTTCACAAAATATGCACTGTCAATTTCGGTGCAAACTGATGCGGAGAGACATCGAAATCGCAGGAGAGAGATCACCGGAAGGCGGAGGAGAATATCGGTGACTAATTCCGGTTAGAATGCAGTCATTTTCTGCTTTTTTCGTTGATCTTTGCTATCGGCTCAAACCCTAGAAAACCACTCTAGTACTTGTTATGCGGCTAATGTACCCCTATAAATTCTTAACGTTGTCTTCTCTTTTAGAGACGGGGCAGTGTTTAAAGCTTTATTCAAGTACAGCCATGGGCCGGCTAATATCCCAGCCATGCGGCTATTATACCCTCACAAGTTCTAACAATGTCAGCCCGAAGAAATTTTTTAAACCCGAGGGCTTGTGTGTGGTTCAATACCATAGCTTAGATTGTGCTTAGTTCAAGATTAATGGATATTATTGTTTTTTGGGCCTGCTTACCTTAAAACTAATCACCCTTGAGTGTATATTCTGCGTAGATGTAGAACATTTAAAAAAATTAAGATCTTTTTTTGATAATATTTTTTAGTATTTTATTTATTAATTTTTATATTTTTTTCAAATATATAAAATATTTATTAAAATAAATATTAAATATACTTTATATATTTTATATATTTTTAAGGTATTAAATAATTAAAAAATTTACAATTACAATTATATATCAATGTTACCATACTAAATCTAATTTTTTTTAACATTGGACCTAAAATTTAAACAGTTAACTTAAAGTATAAAATGATATTTCCCCAAAAAACCTACCCTTACAAGTAGAACTGAAATAGTATAAAGTTCTAGTGAAAGCTCTTCAAAATACAGCATCCCCTTTTATAGTCCAAATTTGAATCATACATTCAATGATAATATTTCCAACTGTAATTTTTTCCAAGAGAGACTCTAAGACAGAAAAAGAAGAGATTGACATTGAAATATCAAATTATCATTGAATAACATCATCCTTTTTTATCGAAAACATGTCTAATTAATTCAGTATTTGGTGCAAACTTGAATCAACTAAAAGATATTTGCCTATGTTTTCATATTAAACTTGTCTACTAGCACTTCCTCAGCTTCACCATCAAATGCAGTATCACTGCCAAGAGAAACAAGACTTTCCGAGCAAACATCGTAGTCGAAGTTCCGAATCCCAGTAACATTAATATCTATTCTCTGTCTCGTTTCCTTTTCAAGGTTATACCAAGACAACTTGTTTCTAATAACATTGAAAAGAAGAATGCAATCCCCCTCCTTTGAATATGTCAAAGGCATATTCAGATAATCAACATCCAGCTCCCCTTTGTGCACTACAAATGCTTTCCTCCAACTACCTCCAGCTTCTTCTCCATCCTTATCACTCACTCGCAAGCAGAACTCTAGAGTTTTAGGCTCATCGGGTATTCTACAAGCATAGAGGTTACCATCAAGAACCCGGCTGACATGGACACCAAAGCCAGGCAGCAGTGGAATGTAAAAAAGTACCTCATTTGCAACGTTAAAACCAAGTATTTTAACCTCCCTATTATCATTATCAAAACACGTCCAATAAAGAGCACTATCAGTTGTGGAAGCAACCCTACCAGTCGCAAACAGTGGAGTGTCTTCAATCCTTCTCCAAGAATTTGATTTCAAACTAAAAACCAAGAGTTGAGACGAAAGGCCCTCGGCGTTAAAATACTTTAAAATCATCACAATCTTGTAGTCATCAACAGTGGAATCATACCCTAGACTGCAACTGCTAAACTGACTAAAACTAGTGCATTCATAAATCGGTATATTCTTATAACGCCGAGCGAATGGATTCCACAAGATAAATCGGATAATCGGAAACTCTAATTTAACAATTATACCCAAAAGAATCAAACCATTCACAACATCACCACATACCACGGTTCCACTTTGGGGAAATTTGAGTGGGCAGGAGAGTGGGGTGAATTCTCTGAGGTTGTCATCAAAATCGGCAGCGTAGAAGGAAGATCCTTCGTTAGTGATTAGCTTTTGGTGGGTTTTTGTTTCAGTTGATCTCTTGAGATGATTGTTGATGAAATCTGAACTGTCAACCTCGGCGGAAATTGATTTGGAAAGGCATCTAAATCGTAGGAGAGACTTCACCGGGAGGCGAAGAAGAACATCGGAGACTAATTCCGGGAAAAGCATCTTTATGTGGCACTAGCAGATTGAATTTGAAGACAGAAGGGATGATTATATAAAGAAAATTGTCGAATAGTCCAATTCCATAGCGAATTAGGTATCCAGTAATAATTGATTGCTCCAATAATTGAAAAAAGGCAATGCAAATAGACTAGCAAAAATCCACCTAACCCGTCAAACTGATACTAACCCAACTCATAAAAAATGGGTTAAAGTCTACATATCTCAACTCACAACTT